GTAAATGGCCTGGCTAAGTGTTAAGGAAGGACCTAAGCATAGAGCCATAAAGAATGGAAAAGGAATACAAACCATGACTTCAATCAAGAACAGCCAACCTTGAGAAAGAGGGAGAATATAATTTCCATAGTTACCACATTATTATATTCAAGTGTCCAGTTTTCAACAACAAAAAGTCCCACAGCATACAAAGAAACACTAAAGTATGGCCCATTCAGAGGAAATAAACTGACAGAAGCATCCTTGAGGAAGCCCAAATGTTGGATTAGAAAACCACTTTAAATCACCTGTCTTAAATATGCCCAAAGAGCTAATGGAAACCATGGACAAAGAACTAAAGGAAATCAGGAAAACAATGTTATGAACAAAATAAGAATATCAATTAAAGAGATAGTAATTATCAACAGAAGTGAAGCAAAAACTCTGGAACTTAAAAATACAGTGACTGAAATGAAAACTTCACTAGGGGATTCAACAGCAGACTTGAGCAAGCAGGAAAAAGAATCAGTGAACTTAGTAAAATGTTAAAGAAAAAATGTTGCCTGCCATATCAGTAAACAAAGGATGCTGCAGCCATCAAGCCATCACAGTACAGCTGCCCAGAAGGTGAACCCTGAGGGAACTGAGGATAGAAAGAGGATGCCCACCCTCTAACAGTCAGCCTCTGCAGCCACCCCAATGATGCACCCAGAGGAGACTCAGGATAAGAAAGCACAGGATACTGGCCCCAGAAAGCTGAGGTGTATATCAAAGGAATGATTTCAATGAGCCCAGACTCTTGCATCTTCCCATTCATAGAAAAGCGCTAAATTCCTTGAGATGTCTGGTTTTCTCTAGTTAACAGTGATCTTTTGATGTTCCGACTACCTGGCCTTCGTTGCAAAAACTCCTACGTATCCTGGCTCCTCCCTTACCTCTTCGGAGCAGTTCCTTAGAGCTATCTGAGAGGCTGTCTCCCGGGATTAAGTTCTCAGTTTTGTCGCCAAATAAAACTTAATTCTCAACTTTTAGGTTGTGCTTTTTTTTTTTTCAGTTGACAAAGATAATTATCGTATCAGACAATAACGCCCAACCTAGAAAACAGTGCTTACCACTTGGAATGTCTACCAAGTGCTTCATTTTATCCTTAGCCATTAATTTATAAGGAGCCAGGTTGAGAGCAGTCAGGTCGCTTGCCTTAGGTCACAGGGCAGCTTGACTGTGGCCTGAGCTCCTAACCACAGACCCCTGTGCTGCTCCCTCTAAAGGCAGAGGCTGCCACCTGAGGGCACAGGAGGAGAATGTGCCATGCAAAGCAAATGGTAATTATGCTATAATTACATAAGATATCCCTTTGACCCCAGGTCAGGTCAGAAGGAAGCTGGCTCATTTTCAACTTTATCTCTCAGTAGTGTTGAGGAAAAGGAAGGAATATTTCCTTTTAACTGCTTAAATGTGTTTAGCCAACAACTGAAGATATTTAAATGTTGAGCACTCTTCTATTTTCATGGCACTAACTTGAACCTTTGAGAGAGGAAATTTTGGAAGGAAAATAAAAGGAACAAAGCACATAGAGTCTTAGCATAGGAACTACATAACCATGTATTAAAATTTATTTCTGATCCATTTTCCAAACTTATGGCCAAGATACACATGAGCATATGCTGGTGATTTGAGGAATTTACTTATGCAATGGCTCAAAGAATCATAGTATGAAATTATAGTAATGAAGGCATTTTTTTCAATGTCAATATAAAGAAGGAAAGACATCAAAATAGCCACAACTTTATTTTAGGCAGCGTCTTGAAAATTACTATTAATACCTCAGGACTGTTTTGGGGGATGGGACTCAAACAAGGATGAAAGACCACTACTTTCACTAGCTAAATCACTCATGTTTTAAGTGTTTTAGTAGGAATGTGCCATCATAGGAGACTCTGACCTATAAACATTCAAAAGATTATCATTTTCTTCTCATATGCCACAAAGGGCACTTTTCTTGAGTGGAAAGAACAGCACTTCTTACAGTTTGTTTGCTTTGCTGAGCCCTTAAAGAAGCAGAGCTCTAATTATTCGTTAGGAAATTTAATGAGCCACACGAAGCCAATGTCTAGCTCTACAAGCTTACCTGATTATTTAAGCACCTCTGCCTCCAGCCAGACTGTCCTGAACTCAAAAACCATTATTTATTTTCTCCTTTCATATAAAAGGCTCCCTTAGTTAGGACACACATTTGTCTGAGTATCCTAAACTCAATATTTAGATTTTATATACAGCAGATCTGAAAAAGCATTTCAAGAAATGAACCTCACGAAACTCCAAGAGAACTTAACAAACGCATGCCCATGAGAGCTCCCATTAGGCTTTTTAAGGGCACAGTCTGAGAAATGGGGAGTGACTGCTAATAGGTAAGGGATTTCTTTTTGTGGTGAGGAAAATGTTCTAAAACTGACTGTGGCAATGATTGCACGGCTTTGTGAATATACTAAAAATCACTGAACTGCTGTATACTTTAAATGTATGAGTGAATTATATAGTATGTGAATTATATCTCAATCAAGCTGTTAAAAATTTATTGGTTTCAACTATACTTCAATAAAAAATTTAAAAATATTATTGATTCATTTTCATTTGTTTTTAGGACATTTACCTAAAGCTACACCAGATTTAACCACAGTGAAAACTTGATGTAATGCAGCTTGAAACCCTGCCCCATTCTCTTAAGAAAAAAAAATTCTTGTAACATAATGACAACTGGACTTTTCCTGGGGACAAGTTCCAGGTTTTAGCAGGTTTACAGAAATGCTGCTTCCAGAAAACCAGTAAATAATGATGTCCCCTAATACTACTGCTCCAATTTTTTTCCCCTAGTACTAGCTTTTGGATACATGAAAAATTACTACAAATTAAACTAGGTAAGCATAATAGTGAATAAATTCACCCTAATGTATGTTTCCAAAAAACTGTTGAGAGGGCACCCACCTACAAAAAACTTATTTCTGGTTTGGAATTGAATATCAGGTTTTATATGTCATTTCATTTCACATTTGAGAAGCTACTCTATTATTAGAAAAGTACTTATCTGCTAATTTTGTGAAACTTTATTTACTATCTTAGAATTAAATAATAAAGAGTAAATATGCCCATAGATCTCTAATGATAAACTCTGTGCACTTTTAGTTTTGACATGAAGAATGGATTAGCAAGAAACAAGATGGGAGACATCTTTAGGGGGCTTTTGCAGTACTCCAGCTAAAGATGATGATTAAAAACAAGAATGTACCAACGTACCGCTTATACATGAAAAACTCTATAGATACACTGGAGGTGAATCACCAAATTTTAATTGAGTTTAGACTATACCATCTCTATTCAGAAATCTGAGAAATTCACAGCTCAGAAAGGAGTTTTATAGATATATATAGATGAATATCATCATTACACAGATGAGGAAACTAAAGTACAGAATGGTTAAGTCTCACCAAGTGACCCAGAACCAGAAGTAAGATTTGAACTTAGGTTGTACAACTCCTAATTCAGTTTTCTTACACTCTTAAACTCATTTTATTAAAGATATATAAAATAATTTTTTAAATAATCTGTATAAAGGCTGTCCCTAACTTTTATAAGTCATATATTTCAAATGCATAAGGGGACAGTAATTTTATACATATCTGCTCACTGATAATCACTAAATAACTTGAAATTATATAATCACACCCAGGGTAACTGGAATAGGTCATGGAAAGAAGAAATAAAAGGAGCCATGAATCTTGAAGCTATGACTGACCCTTATATATATGCAACTAGGTGTCAGTTCTTAAAAACATCACTAGATCAGATTAGAAAGGAACAGTCAAATAGCACTTGAATTATGGTTACTGAATAAATCAATTTATATACAGATAGCACTGTATATATCATCTGTTTACACTTAGTTCTTCTAAGAAAATGCTTTCACTTCTCTTGTCAAAAGTTTTTTTAATTTGCTTTAAGTCTACTAAGGAAAAGCAAAGAAAAAGGGATCCATTAATTGGAAAGCCAAATGAGTTTAATGAGTTTCATTAAAAAGTTATCAAATTGCCCGACTGAATAAACAAGGATTGATTTGTAGAAACCGGGAAGTTTCATATTTTACTCCAAATAAACAAATACAAATAAAAAATAGGATATGGACAGACTGGCTATGTTTCTAATCAGCCAAAGAAGCAGAAGAGGAGACACTCCATTTTGTTCACTAGAGCAGCTGCTTGTGTGGGTAAAGTGGTGCTACACTAAAGAGTCCCAGTCTAGGGTGTCAAGAACTCTCTAGAGACAAATGGTTTTGATCAAAAATAACGAGAGGCTGCCTTTTCCCAAGCGTGCCCTGTGACTCAGGCAAAAAAGTCCATAGCTCCAAATTTTAACTGTCAAATTATAAGCCAGATGAGAAATACTCTGATTTACTTTGTAACCAAAGTAATATAAAGCTAGATGTCTTATTCAACATTGTTAGATGATATATATTAATACATGTTAATGTTTACCACTCACCTACTAAGTGAGATGGAAAGATCCTATAAAGAGGTTGAGTAAGATTGTACTAGCCCATAAACTCACAGGGTAGAAATCAAAGCCAAAGTGATGAAAGAAGGAAACTTTTAAGGTTGATATTGGTAGAAAATGGTCTAATATATAAAGGAAGGAGGCTATATATATATATATATATATATATATATTTAAAGCACCTACTGAGAAGACACTTACAAAGAATGTCAATTTCAGCACACTTATTACATCAGAATGCTGGGAACAGCCATAAAGAAGTGGTTAAATACTTTATGGTACACCCATATAATGGAACACTATACAGACATACGTCACATGCATGGCATACCACATAGATGTATCTGTATGTGCTCTCACAGAACTAGCTCTGGAATATATTAAGAGAAGAAAAGCAAGAAGCAGGACAATACACACAGTATGGGATGGGAAGACTTTATTCTTAAACAATAGTATAAATAATTTTTTAAAAATACCTTGTGGTATCTTCTTAACAGTGCCTTTTTTGCTTCTTGAACTTTTTCCAGGTATTTTTTGGTCCTTTCTCAAGAAGGCCTGTCCATCTTTGGGGCCTTCACAAGCAGCGTTTTCCAAGTTCTCACCTGCAGCCACCTCACAGCTTGATGTGCAGCTTTCATTATTGTTGAGACTGTCCGGCTCAAACACTTCAGGTTTGCCCATTGCACTGTCACTGCTGGTCAGAAGCTCATGCCCATCACCATCAAGTTGATTTTCATTTTCATCTGATGCAGAGGGCAAGCATGTTACAGTACTTTCTACGCCATCACCAGGATGACATCCAACTTGTGGTTCTATCTGCAGATTATATGTAGGAGTTTTGCTGTCATCCATTAGAGCATCTTTTGTTGAACCGTTTAAGTTTCATTAAAGTCCTTCAATGTCTACAATGACAAAAAGAAAAAACATTCATTTTTTAAACTCTGGATTTTCGGTGATCTTTGATCTTCCTCTTCTCCTGGGTTGTTTTACTGTAAGTAGGGAAGAGAGAAATGACTAAGGCTCATTCCTACTACTTCTATCCCACTTACAACCCTACCCCACCTCACCTAGTTCTTGCTTGAATACAATGGTTCTAAACCCTGGCTGTATGTTTATTGCCTATGGAGCTTGTCAAATTTCTATCATAGACCTCTGAAATCTAAATCTCTGGGGATCGAGCCCAAACACTGACATATTTTTTGAAGTTCTCTAGATTATTCTAATGTGCATCATGTTGGGACCACTGCCTTGAAGAAAGAAATTAAAGATTGTCTGCTAAAACCAATCACTCATGTTATCCCTGGACACTTAACAAACAAGTGAAAGTTACTTGTGTAAGTCGTTATACGGCCAAACAGCAGCAATATTTACAAATGAAAATATTTTAAAATAGTTTTTAAATAAAATTTTTAAAAAGTATATGGGGGAAAATTCAGGTAGCATATATTTATACTATATTCTCATTACATCCTTCCTAAAAATAAGCCCTGAAAAGTACTTTAGGATTGTCAACAGATTCCTTTTATACAATTAAAAAAAAAAAGAGGGCCATGATTAACTCTAGGCTATTTAGTTTAAGACTTGGAAAAAAATCTCAGGCTACTCCAAGAATCCTTCTAACATTTTAAAGATATACAAAATAGATTTTAAGCCTTGTATCAGTCATGTTTTACCCCCTCTTCTCATCCAAAAGTATATTACATTTTAAGAAAAATCATGCCAGCCAGATTTAGATATTTTTATGCTTGCCAAGTATTACTTTGGATTTGAATGAAATATAATATTTCAGCAATTTTGAGAAAAACTCAGTGATAAAGAATTTTGTAAATTCTTCAAACTAATAAAAAGAAATGTTTATTTGCTCTTTAGAAAGTCAGTAAATATATATTTAAGTAAAGTAGAAGTTTTTTAAAAACAGGAAAACAAAGTATAAAACAAAACATGAGCTCTACACTGATTGTATCACATGATTTCAACTATTTTGCAAATGGAATATTTTATTTGATTCAGGCATAAAAGTACTGCTTGTCAAATATAAAAATATCTAAATCTGGCTGGTATCATTTTCCTTAAATGATACCATTTAAGCTCCACTAAGAAGTATGTAATATGAAAAGTAAAATGATTTAACTTGACTAGAATAACTTAGTTTAGACCTAAATGAATTCTAACTAGAGTATAATTTTTAATTGAAAAGTAATTATTTTTTTAATAAATTTATTTATTTAATTTAATTTTGGCTGCATTGGGTCTTCGTTGCTGCACGCAGGCTTTCTCTAGTTGCGGCGAGCAGGGGCTACTCTTCATTGTGGTGCGCGGGCTTCTCATTGTGGTGGCCTCTCTTGTTGCGGAGCATGGGCTCTAGGTGCATGGGCTTCAGTAGTTGTGGCACACAGGCTCAGTAGGTGTGTCTCGTGGGCTCTAGAGTGCTGGTTCAGTAGTTGTGGCACACGGGCTTAGTTGCTCCATGGCATGTGAGATCTTCCCAGACCAGGGCTCGAACCCATGTCCCCTGCATTGGCAGGAGGATTCTTAACCACTGTGCCACCAGGGAAGTCCCAGTAATTACTATTTTAATAAAGTGTCTTCAAGATCTCTATCATGAGAGAATCCAAATTCAAATGAGACTTTAAAAGTGCATGTGGCTAATATGGTGGAAACACCCCAAATGTTCACTGACGGATGAAGAGAGAAGCAAAATGTGATATATTCACACAATGGAATATTATTCTGCCATAAAAAGGAATGAAGTTCTGATACATGCCACAACATGGATGACCCTTGAAAACATTAAGCCAGACACAAACGGATAAATACTGTATGATTCTACTTATGTGTAGTTTTTTAATAGGCAAATTCATAGAAATAGAAACTAGATTAGAGGGGCTGAGGGCAGGGGAGGGAGTTACAGCTTAATGGTTACAGAGATTTTGCTTAGGGTGATGGAAAAGATCTGGAAAGAGGGGTGACGGTTACACAACAGTGTCAATGTAATCAATGCCACTGAATTGTATACTTAAAAATGGTTAAAATGGCATATTTTCTGTCACATATTTTTTATCACAATAAAAACAGTGAAAATTTTATGTGGCTATGTAGGAAAAATGTCAGTCCTTAAAACTGACAATAGCCTCAGTTGTTTTCTGATTTAAATAACCAAATTATTTTCTAGCATGTATTTGCCGTTGAAAATATAAAGGTTTTACTTTTATCTGAAAGAGACACAGAGATCTCATGCCAAGGGGGAAGGAAGAAAGCAATCTACAGAGCCCCAAACAATAAGAGTCGCCTCTTGTTGAGTCTCTGTCATGTATTAGAAGCCATGCCAGGCACTTCACATACCTTATTTCTAATTCTCCAAACAAGCCTACATGGGAGGTGTTCATACTGTGTTTTAGGTGAAGACTCTGAGGCTTGGAGAGGCAAAAATAACTTGTTTAAAATCATATTCTTGGAAAGAAGTGGAACTGGATCTGAAACCAGGTCTTCCTGATTTGAATCCTGTGCAGTTCAGCATAATAGCTGAGAACACAGGCAGACCAAGGGTCAACTTCTGGCTCTGCCATTTAACAAACTGTGTGGTGACCTTAGGCAAGTTACCTAGCATCTCCAAGCTTTAATTTTCTCTTTGTGAAAATGGAGAACCGTAATGCTTACCTCGAAGAGTCATTTGTGAGGCTTAGACAATATGGCAGGTAAAGCAGTTAGCAGAGTACCTGGCCCACAGTAAATGCTCAAGAAAAGTTAGCCATTATTATTGCCCAAGAAATCTTACAGATTGGCCTTAAACACCAGTAGGTTTATTCAAGCAGCTCTGTAGCCTTACTGAAGGTTCAGAAACAGAGCTTTTCTAGACCTCCTGGAAATAATTAGGTTCCTGATGATAGACTAATGTTAACCAGCATCATTTGAGAATGCTGAAGTATTAATTTATGATAGAGATATCTCAGCAAGTTCCTGGAATATTTAATGATCTGTTCTGTGCACCATTTCAGATGATGAGGATGTCTAGAAATTAGTGATTAAGGGATTTCCCTGGTGGTCCAGTGGGTAAGACTCCGTGCTCCCAATGCAGGGGGCCCGGGTTCCATCCCTGGTCGGGGAACCAGATCTCACATGCATGCTGCAACTAAGAGTCCGAATGCTGCAATGAAGAAGCCCTCATGCCACAACTAAACATGCCGCAATGAAGATCCCATGTGTTGCAACTAAGACCCGGCCCAGCCAAATAAATAAATAAATATTTAAGAAAAAAAATTAGTGATTAAGCCTCCTTGGTGAGTATAAAATTACAGATCACACTTCTCAACTTTAATGAGTGTCATGTACCAGTTAAACTCTTCAGACCGATACTCTTATTCAATTCTCGCAATTACTCTAGCAGATGGGTAATTTTTAGTCCTATTATACTAATGAAGAAACCAAGTCTCATATCTCATCAAGGGTCAGCTAGTAAGTTCAGAAATAGAACATGGATCAGTTGTGATCTTGAGGCCACACTCTCAACAATTATGCTTTATGGACAATGGGGTAAAAGTATCAATAACTTAAAGAATATTTCACTCCAGCTGTGGTATACCTCAGTGAAGAATCTCTACCCTACAACAGAGGACACATCTCTAATAAACATGAAGTTCAAGTTCCTGGAAGTTCTCTCTTTCCCTGGGAATTGCTAGATCCAAACAATATACAATTTCTTAAATAATCCACCTTCTTCTGTTGAGAACTATTTTTTAAAAAAGACATACTAATATACTATTTATGTTAAATATCTATTACCAGTAAAGTAGGTCTTCCTTTCTTTGGGCCTCAAGACATTTTGCCTCCTATTATTTTGTGATGATGTAATTAGTTTAATTCTCAAAAGGCTACTTTGTAAACTACTTTCTAATACTAATACTTATAGGTGTGAACCTGTAATTATTCTTAATAGACACTGACCAATTCTTCATGGCTTGGCTCAAAAGTCACTCCAATTTGTCTTCCCTGACTTCTCCATTCCAAAAGACATGATGCATTCCTCTACAGCACTCTGTACCACGCATAGAGTCCCTCCCAAATACAACTCTCTGCACTGTATATATTTGCATATGTGTCCTACCAGATTTAAGCCATTTGAATGCCCATAACCCCAGCCACAGATAATTTTTATTCTTCACAATGTCTAGCTCTGGGCCTTATACTTATTATATATATGAAGGAGTGGAGGGCTTATTTTCTACAGTTTCTGTCTTCAAAGAAGAAAGGCACATGGATTTCTATACACTCCTCTGCCCCTACTCTGAGAGCTAAAGGAAGCTATTATACAATATTTGGCTTCTATCTGCATTCCTAACACATTTCAATTGGAACACTTTAACTTAAGCAGTAGGATAATATTCTTAATGGGATTTCAAATTAGTACAGGCCTACTGCTTTTGGAAACAGTTATAAGGAAATACTATTTTTGGAAACAGTTATAAACAAATACTATTTTTGTCTTCTTCCTCCTCTTTCCTTTCCTTCAATGCTATAACAACAACATTTAAAAAGATTCATCTTCATGTACACCTGTATCTTGCTATATGAAAGCACCTAGGCAAGAGAAAAATCATAGGGAGAAAGAAGCCCCAGTTGATACATAGTATTTTTAAATATGCCCTAACATTATATGGGACCTGGAGGTTAGAAGTACAGTAGAAAAGGCATTCCAAGTTATTTGCTATATCTAAGCTGTATGTCTATTCTATGAGTCCCTATGGCTGTACCAATTCTCACAAAAGAAACAGCGAGGGCTTCCCTGGTGCCGCAGCGGTTAAGAATCCGCCTGCCAACGCAGGGGACACAGGTTCGAGCCCTGGTCTGGGAAGATCCCACATGCCGAGGAGCAACTAAGCCCGTGTGCCACAACTATTGAGCCTGC